AATATATTTTAATTTTAATAAAAATAAATTTTATCAAAAAAAATTTAATTAAATTTTTTTTTTGTAAATATAAGTACTTTTTTATTATATCTATTTGATTTTATAGATATAAATATTTTTTGGTTCAAAAAATGTTTAGGGACTTAATCGTTTAAAATATGAATGTTCATTGGGTTTTTTCGGACTTTTTCCATTATTTTACCATATTAAGCAGTTGTATAGGTCATAAGGATGTATCTAACAGGTTTTAGAAAGTCCAAGAAGTTATTTAACATGTTTTGGAATGTCCAAGGATTTATTTATTCCAAAAAATTATCCAATGACTTAATCATTCCAAACACTAAAGTCTATTGGGTTTTTTTAGACTTTTTCTTAATTATTTCCCACCAGTAAAGGGCCGTTTATCAAACGCTTACTTGGATAAGTGAACATCAAGTCATATTACCTTACCGGATGAATATGGTAAGACCAAAAATCTTGTATGGTAAGAGCGAAACAAGGACCAAGAGTCTTACCCGGTAAGTGAGGGCGACGGCTCTTACTATGGTAAGAGCTTACCGGGTAATTAAATTGTTGCATACGATAGCGTTTTGGTGGACTAAAACCTTACCCGCTAAGTAAATCACAGTGTTAAATTTTACCAGTAAGTGTTGGGTAAACGACCCCTAAGAAGTATTGAAAATAAATATTTTATAAAATATATAAAATATTTTATTAATATTGTTAATACTAGAATTGTTAAAATAAAATAGTTGTTGGAGTTGAATATAATTTTTCTAGATATTTTGATTTTTTAATATTAAAAAAAATTATAGTATAAAACTGTTAAAGATGCTCCAAATGTTAACTAATAGTTTATTAGACGAATGATCGTGTGAGAATAGAAGTTAAGATGAGAAGCGTTAGAAGGTCTGGACCTTAGATTATTTTTAATCTCACTTCCATGACCATCCCATGAATGCGCTTTCAACAGGAATTGATCTGGTGCATCTCATTAATATTGATCTTCAATTAGAATTGATCCAAAGGTCGAGATCTCTTTTACTCTCGCTATAAGTGACATTCTCATCCGAACCTAACCCTAATTTATTAATATATTTCTATCTAAGACGGAGGATCATGTGAGAATAATAGTTAAGGTGAGAAGCATAAGAAATGATCTGGGTCATTGATCACTTCTCATCCCCACCTCATGAATTGCGTTTCTCACGGTAATTCATTTGGTGTATCATGATGCATCTTATTACTGTTAACTTTCAATTAGGATTGATCCAAAAATGAAGATTAATTTCTTATTATTCTTATCATAATTTTCATTCCCACCGAAACCTAACCTTAATATATAAATGGGCATGTTAATTAAATTAGTGTAAGTGGAGCCACTTTCCACACGTTTATTGGTTGGCTCAAGTAAAACGGCTGCTTTTTTGTCACCATCCCTTTGTGACAAACATCGTTTTTTTAATTGGTCAAGAATATAAATTATACTAAAAAAAAAACTATACTAACTTAAGATCTCAAAGTAATCTCAAGTACAAGGACTAGTTGTGCCATAAGTTGAAATTCAAGGGTTGTTTGGTATAAAGTCAAACTCACCAAACCAACCGGTGTTTGTTTCAAAACGGAGGAGAAGGAGGAGGAGAAGGACGGTTGTAGGGGCGGACTTAGTATTAGCCTTGGGGGCATTCGACGTTAGTGCCCCTGCTCTATCATCCCGTTTGCAATGGAAACACTTTTATGGGTCTTAAACATGTATCGTTTTAATTTGATGTGTGCTTTTAAGTTAACAAAAAAAATAGATGCATCCTATTCGTAATGTGGTAATGTCAATGCATTTGGTATTAGATCTTACAAGTTTGAATCTCTTTGCCTTTTAAAAAAATGGTAACAACAGTAGGAAAAAAAAATGGAAAAACAATTTGTATTGCAAAAAATAACTTGTATATCAGTTTTAATCAAAACATATCTTATATTATAAAGTTTCTTTATATTAAATGGGTTAAATTTAATGTTGTGCATGTAGTGATTTGACGACCGGCCGTTGTGTGATGAACACGAGTGACGAATCTGGTGGAGACGTCTTATGAGGCCACACTAAGGGAAGAAAAATGACCAAAAGCGAGCTTAACTCCACTTTCAAGTGAGTTGGTCAAGCAAGCTAGAGCACGAGCTCGAGGTCAAGTTGACCTAAAGTTGACTGTAAGATCCCACATTGATTGGGGAGGGGGACGAAATTTGTCTTATAAGGGACTAGATACCTTCTCTATCATACATGTTTTAAAAAACATTGAGTCTAGGTGTGTGGACAAAATGAACGACATATGGTACGGTTGACCTGAGATGTTACATTGACCATGCATGAATTTGATCAATATAGAATGGTAAGTCTAAATAATACAAGTATTGATCATGAATATTAAAAGTACTCAGATACAAATATATGAGGTATGTGTAAGTTCCAAGCAAGCAAGAGTCGAGCAACCCTACACAGACACAATATGAGTTCTCATGAGATTTTTCTCGAACTGGGATATACACTTATATTCGATGGGGCGCAAGCAGTGGAGCATGTGGTTTAATTCGATGCAAAGCGAGCCGCTAAACTATAAGATAAGTAAGCCTCTTCAGACCATACAAGTGTACGTCGAGCAATTGACAAACTTATACATATTATTTGTTTAGACACCTAATTTATATGTTTGCATGGTCATAATTACTCAATGTAAGGGTTAATGTGACGAACTATTGTTATCGACTTGAAATCATGAAATAACTATAACGTTTAATGAATGCAACATAGTTTTATGATAAAATGCATACGTGATAGAGTTTTAACATGCTTTATTATTATCTTACAAATGAGACATCGGCTTGTCACTTTTTTCTTAACGTATGTGACAGTATTTGGTAGATGAGGACTTCAAGTACCTCTACGTAGACGAATCTTGTAAAATCATACTAGTTGTATACAATTTATTTTAACCATAATATTCTAAAACTTTAATTCGTTCTGGATTGGCACTCGAAACATTAGATTTGTTTTTAGACAAAAAACCATGTGAGAATAGAAGTTAAGATAAGCAGTGTAAGGAGGACTTCGATTCTTGATCACTTTTAATCTCAAACCAACTCATGAATTGCGTTTTAAAAGGGCATTGATCTGGTGTATCTCATTAGTGTTGATCTAATGTTTCTCTTTGATTATGATTGAATCCAAGGGTGAAGATTCATTCTTATGCTTCTCACCATAATTTTCATTCTCATCGAAACCCAACCATTTGTTTTATTATACTTCCAAATACTATCGTTTTAACCCAACGTGTCGACCAAACCCTTCCCAATACCCAATTCCGAGCCTCAACCCACACTATTCTTGACTCGGTTAACACCCCATTTCGACCAATTAGTGGCTCAAACATTCAACTATTAACAGATAACCCGTGTTCAAGTCAATCTATGCAAAACTTGACTAATTTCATGTGACTTGAAATTAACAGTCAGACAAGCCTTCTAGCATTCCTATTGAGACTTAAACGGGTGATCTTTGTAGAGCAAACTCGCCGGTTTGAATAACGTTCTCCAATAAAAAGTTCTCACCGGTTAAGCTACACCTCAAGCTTAACATTTAGCTATTATTATGACGATATTCTGACCATCTTAAACATAGAGGGCCGTAGTCGGAGTTGTAACAACGTCACCAGCATGTCATGGTTGCCGGCCACGATAATCTTGATTGATTTCCTTATCAAACCGAGTTCTAAAATCAAATAAAAAAAATACTACATAGTAAATATTCTAGAATGAAACTCTAATACACCTTCAATTCCCTTTGATTGAAACTCCAAACAGACTCTCTGGCCTCAAATACACACACATCCACACTAGAAGTTCCAAGGGATTTAGTGATTTGGTTATATGAACCAAAATTGATGAATCATCGACTAGTTTTAAGTCGGTGGCAAAACTGAAAACGGACACACATCTAGCCATAAAACACAGATGTACAAGAATCCCTCTAGCGCACGTGATATGCAAAGATCAAACACGTTATACAAGATTGTAAACCAAACGAGCCCAGTATTTCCTACCTGAAGGTGGGGTCTTGGAAGGTATGCAATAGTAGAGTGACTGTTTCTATGAAGACTCGCGCTTGTTAAAAGTGTGAAAGAGAGAAAAGCAGGTAAGCTTAAATTTTGAACCTCGTATCTACAGGACCCTGCTGATTCGAGCATCTATGATGGGGATCTTGGAAGAAGGCTCGGAGGATAGATCTAATGCTTCTGCTAGTGAGAGTCTTCGGTTTTGCCATGCAGCCTCTGCCCAACTCTTCATCTGCTCCCCTGCAGCCTTCCGGTTCTGTTGAACACACAAGGTTTCAGCATACCCACCTTCACAATCACAAACAACCAAGATGTTAGTTTCCCCCAATGATCTACTCGATAGTACGGTCTTGTGGTGAGATGCATTATAGAAGCTAAGCATACCTCTTGCAAGTGCAATTATATCCTTTCTATACACCTTAGCTTGTTCAACTGCAACATCAAGAGGAAATAAGTTATCAACCTGGTTTCAGAACAAAAAAGAATAGTTCAAGAGTCCCATTTCTTTTGCCAAAATGTGATAATGATCACAAAGTTACTCCCACAAGAAATACAACATTTAACCACAAGGGTGGTGCCTGATTGGTTTGAGCTTGGCTCCAAAGGTCAAAAGTACCAAGAGGTCCCAGGTTCAAATCCAAGGAGGAATAAAAGTCCCCTTGTGGCCACGGAGGTTCAAATGCGGTGACTCCAGGCTATCTGCAAAGCAGTGTCGCCCTGGGATTAGTCTGCTCGCATAGCGGGTTGGATATCCAGGTTAATCAAAAAAATAATAATAATACTAATTACTCCCTCCAGCCTAGAATAACTATCCACATTTTTATTTAAGTTTGTCCCCAAATAGGTGTTCCCTTTCAGAAATAGATAGTTATAGTCTAATTCTACCCTTAACAAAATATTTAAGAGTTGAGGAGATGGAGAGAGAGGTTTGCCTCCGTCATTATGGGTAAAATTGTCATTCAGTTCAATAAAAGGTGTAATGGTTACACATTTCTTAAACGGAGTGTTTTTCTATTTGGACATTTATTTTGGGACAGAGGAAGTAAATCTATTTATCGTTAACTAAATGGCCTCCCCTTGCAAATTAAAATACAACAAATCCATGTCAACCAAAATGAATGATACCTCGACTTGTAATTATTATTATAGGAGACGTAGGTAATTGAACTTGAAAATTTTAAAACAAAATGAAGATCCATGCGATCTTGGCAAAAAAAAATGTTGCAACTCTTTTCTGAACATGTACGGATGACAAAATAATTATCACTTTTCCAAGAAATTATGAACATTGTCATAGAACAAAAGGGTCAATGGCCAAGCGGTATCCGGTAAATCTCAACCTCCTTGGAGGTCAAGGATTTTGCCGTTTATAAATGTTACATACTTAAAAGGGAACACATTGTCATAGAAGGGTTGTGTTAAACAAATGGAGATATAAGCACAGATATTTCTCGACTTTACCTTCAGTTTCCAATTGAGGTGCTTTTAGCAATTCTAGTGCTCTTCTATAGAGTCCCTACAGATGTACATTGGAACTATGATCAGAATAACCCAAGTAATTACAATGAATTGGCATACACTGAAAATCCAAATATGATACATAATAACTCACAAATCAACGTTAAATTACACAAAAACATGACTTGTAGCAGCACTTGGTTGGATCATTCAAGCAAAGTTCAAAAATATTTTCTTCCGTAGCTCCAAATCACTAAAAAATGTCCTTTTTTCATAACCGTGCAAGTCTGGGCCAGCTTGTCACACCTTGGCTAGTCCCATTGGGTCTTGAAGTTAATAACCGGGAAAACCTCTAGTGGCCTCAGGCCTGAGGGAACTCGAACTTGTGACCAATGGGTGGGGAGTAAACCCAAGGCTTGACCAACTAGCTGAGCCACCACCAAGTCAAGAAAAAAGGTCCTTGTCAAATGGTCTTTTCGCCAAATGGTACCAAGCGAGCTCTAAAACCCCTAGGTTGTGAGTTTGGTCTCTTGAGATACATGAGAGTATGAGTTAATTTGCCCATTTCAATAACAAAAAATTAAGGAATGAAAGGTTCTTCTAGCCACCACTACACTAATTCCAAATCTTCCATGAAATCCAAATCCCTCAAAACCATTCCACCAACATAGAAATTGAAACAATAGAAGAAAGCTTGAAAGAACACATATCAATACGTAGTATGTCTAACCTCTTGAACCATAAGGGAACTAGAACGCTCCAGTTTTGCTTTATGCCGAAACATGAGAGCTATGCAAGTTAATATAATTCCGATCTTTGGATGATGAGGACCTACAACATATGCGGTTATGCACCAAAATAATGCATAAGCATCACAGTGGACACAAAAAGTATGTTGCCATAAATAAATGAAGAGTATGAATACCAACCAAAACGTTCTTCGGTCATTGTTAGTGCCCTGGTCAGTATCTCTTCTGCATCACTAAAGTTCCTGAACCACAAAACGCAGCTTATATAGTGTAACCATAGTTTCTAGTAAGGCTATTCTTGGCAAACTAGCTGATAGTTGTTGCCTGATAAGCTAGATGACAACGTAAATTGACCTAAAAAGACGTGTTGAAAGATTAATTGGAAAAATATAAAAGGCATAATTGGAAAATGGTCATCGGAGCTTATTGAAATGCTACTTGAAGTAGCTTTTTCAAATATGTAGCTTTATGGCTAACCAAACAGAGGTTTTTGAAATGATAACTGAAGTAGCTTCTCAAAAAGCTAGCTTTATGGCTAACCAAACGGGGCTTTTTCAATAAGCTCAAAATATAAGCTAGCTTATAGTTGCTGAACATGAAATATATGTATTACCCCATGTGTGACTCAAGCTGTCCTAAAGCACAAGTGGCTGCCAAAAGAGTGTCCTCCCAAGCCATGTTACCAGCAGCCAATTTATATGGATCACTATAATCTTTATTTTCGGGAATGCCTTGGATTACATTCTGATATAACTGTTTTGCAGTTGCGAAATCCCGTGTTGCATGAAGAAATTCAGCATATGACAATACACCATTCCCTATATATGAAAAATCAATATCCTTCTATAACATTCTCCCATATGACATGAGTTGCAAGAACTTACCGACGCCTAAGTTATCTTCAACTCCTTTAAAACAAGATTGGGCTGCAGAAACAACATATAACCATCAAATTATCTTATAAACAAGAAAACACAACTGTTAGGGCCATGTTTGGCAACCACAAATTATCTTATTTCTGAGCTTATTGAAAATTTCCGCTTGGTAAGCCATAAACTAGTTTTCTTTCAAGTATATAATATTTATACACAGCAAGTACTCACGCACACTCCTCACCAAATGGTGAGGTTTCTATATCGTTAACCCGGGTACCGTTGGGCTATTAACCCTTTGGTTAGCCACGAACTAGCTTATAAGCTAGCATTTTGAAAAGCTACTTCATATAAGCTTTTTTGATAAGCAGGGATTGTTTCACTTTCTTCCGACTATGCCCTTTGTACGTTAGAATTGAGTAATTTATCAACATTACCTTTTAGGTTATCTTACATTGTCATCTAGCTTTTCAACTACTTTTACCATACGTGACCGGTTTATGAGCAAACAGCTAGCCTATCTTGCCAACAACTAGCTTCAATCAGCTAGTTTGCCATAGCCTAAAAATGAAACTTTGGATGGATAAACACGTCTAAATACATACATGAATCTTGATTGCCCCAGACAAGCTCAATCAGCCCTTTCAATGCTCTAGCATGAGCATCCAATGATCCAAAGCCGTGCCCAAGTTCCAGTTTACTAGCATCTAAATCATTCAAGCAAACATCTGCTATCACTGAGGAAGTATCATCCTATATAAGGACAACCATGGCCAGATAAATATGTACTGAAATGAACTTCTGTATTTGATTTTATAAGAAAGATTGAAACACAAATGGACTATGCTTAGTGCTTACCTCTCCTGATTCTAAATGGAGTCCTGCAAGAGCCTCGGTGGCCGCCACTGAACCAATTCATAGAAATATCAATAAACTGAGTGAATTATTAAACTCAAATAGATGAAATGAATTCAATATTAGTTTCCCCTGTTACCTCTAAGAGGGAAAGAAGAAACTTTTAAGTCCTTGATGGTATTCAATTTCTCAATAGCTTCAACAAGATTTCCTCTGTGAATTGGAAACAACCAAGAACATCATATGAATTACTGAACTTCATAAGCTAGATTCAGAAAATTGATTGTGGGAATATCAATCAAAAACCAGAAAATCAAACCTCTCAGACAAAATGGTCGACATTGCAAGAAGAACCAATCCCTTGGAATTAGCATCATGCTGATTCGATTCGCACTGTTCTAGCACCAATAAACCTTGCCCATATGATTCATCTACACATACTCATACGTAAGAACAAGAACATATAAACAGAAAGAAAACGAATTAATGGGTTTACTCGAGAAACAAAGGAAAGGGGGAAAAGAACCTGATTTCTGGGACCTCGAAAGGGAAATGGCGTAATCGATCATTTGAAGAGCAACTGGGTTAGGCTTAAATTGGTCATGGAGTTGGGTAGAGAATAATCTGACAACCGGCGGTGAGTGGGAAAAGCCCCTGGGTCGTCTCGCCAGCTTGGTGGCGAGGTTAAACATGGGTCTGGTGTAAATTCGGTGGCAGAACCCTAATAGTAGGAAGCCAGGACGAGGGTTTGAGTCGCTGATTGTTCGAATTCAGTGTCAGTGCCTTCTTTGTTCGATTTGATGAATATATGCATCTCCAGTAGATTCTTTGAACCAGGAGATTTTAGGGATTTTTTACATGGAAATTGACATTTCTTACGTCTGCCTAAACACTTATTTGATAAGTATTTACCAATAAAATTAACATTATTATTTATTTATCCGATAAGATTTTATTCACTAAAACATATAGTATATAACAATTTATTTAGATAAGCGCTAATCATGGTAAGAGTAGTCGCCCTCGCTTACCGGGTAAGAGTGGTCGCCCTTGTTAACAGGTAAAACTCTCGATTCTTGTCTTCGCTCTTACCGATTAAGATTCTTAGTCCTTGTCATAATCATCCGGTAAAATAAATTGATTTGGTATGCGCTTACCCGGATAAGCGTTTGGTAAACGGCACATAACTATTTTTCTTTCCAGGGTTTATCTAATCGCTATTTTTCCAATATCCAAGTCTTAATATTAGTTAAAAAAGAAAAAAAGAAAAATCAAATTCAACACAAATCTACAATTGTGATGTCAAGTCACGGTAAACTGATTGAATTTAATTTTAGTGATATTTGGGTAAATTCGTAAAAGAAATAATTAAGAAACCAATTTAAATGCAAGAAATGATTATTTAAGTCAATTTTTTTTTACAGCTTCTTGAAACCAAAAAAGCATGAATTCTTTGAATTTATAGATTTCTTGAAAAAAATTGTTGTTGATAAGAGAAATAATTTTTTATTCGTTTTATTAATAAAATGATTTGAATTTAAATATTTATAAAAAAAAATATTTTATAAATCATATTAAATATTTTAATAATATAATTAATTGTTTACAAAACACAAATAAATAAACCGGTGAATATGCAACAGAATATTGAAAAATAGAGATTTTATAGTATTTTTCTAATAAATATGTAACAACTACATAAATTAACGATTTTAAAGTTTTATTTCTTATATAAAGTGTATGTTAAAATATAGAGTAAATTATGGATTTGATCCTTGTGGTTTGGTGTTTTTTATAAAAATGGTCCTTGAATTTTATTTATTATAGATTAGAACTCGTTGTATGTCGTTTTGTAATGAATTGGTCCCTCCCTCTCTGGCCATCCAGTTCCTCCGTTAACCTTGAAGGCATTTTTGTTCTTTTCCTTTTCTTTGTCTTTATTCGAGAGAACAATTCATAAAACCACACCTTAGGAACCAAATCCGTAATTAAGTGTAAAAAATAAAAATAAAATAATTTTTTTATACTTTGATTTTATTAAATTAATTAGAGATTATTATACTTATAAACTTAATTTTAATATATAATATATTTTCTTTCAAAAAAATATGTATTATGTACGTACACATACACGAGTGTATATACACACATACATAAATAGTGAGGTTCAACCTTAATATATATATCTATGTGTGTGTGTGCACGCATGCATGTACACATGTGTATAATATACATATTTTTAAATAAACTATATTGTATATTAAAATAAAACTTATAATTAATATACATTAAAGTATAATAATTAATTAATTTAATAAACACAAAGCATAAAAAAATTAATTTTTATTTTTATTTTTTAGACTTAATTATGGATTTTGTCCCTGTGGTTTGTATGGTTTTTACGAAATTGGTGCCTCAATAAAGACAAGAAAGGAAAAAAGACGAAAATGGCCTCAAGGTTAACGGAGGAATTGGATGTCCGTTATAGGGAGGGACCAATTCGTTACAAAACGACATACGATGAGTTCTAATCTGTAATAAATGAAGTTTACAGACCATTTTCACAAAAACCATCAAACCACAGGAACCAAATCCATAATTTACTTTAGATGGGATGATGATGTACCATCCGAAATTTAGTTATCTTGATGACGTTAGAATTTATCTGCATTTCCTTTCTCGAAGCATTAAATTTGTTTCCCCAGAAGCAACTTAAGTATGTGATGTTTGGTGATGCTTTAAACTCAAGAAAATGGGTTTTAAGATGAAAAACAGAGTGAAATGCGGGTTTAATGCGGTTAAACTCGCATAAGGGTCACTTTTGAAACTGTTTATGACATGCTTAAAAACCATCTAGGTGACTCTGAAGCAGGTAAACCCGCATCATAGTCGCATTAGTCACTTAGGCGGCTTAATAGTCGATTTTCAGGGGTTTTTTTTTTTAATTTTGCTCTATCTTCCTCATTTCAACTCCGTTTTGGACGATTCTTTTTGCTATGGTTTTGTTTTTTCAAGATCTTAAAATCGGGAACAATAGTTATTAAATATTCTTTGATGATTTTAGGATTCGTAGAAGTTGAAGGTAAGATCATATCTTTAGTCAAAGACCTTCCAGCCTAGTGGTAAAGGCTTGGGCATGACATAGTCATGAACCCGAGTTCGAGCCTTGGGAGGGGAGTGTTGGCGACATTTAAGTGGGGTCATGTTTAGCCTCCAAATTTGCCGGGGATTAGTCGGGCTTTGGCCCGGACACCCTTACAAAAAAAGATCATATATTTATCTCTTAACATAAGGTTTGACCATTTTGCATCTTCAACTCACTTCACCCCTTTGTAGCAATTTTCTAGAGTTGGGAGTTCAAAGAAGTGGTTTGAGTTCTTGGAAAGATCATATTTAAAGTTTTGGGTAAATATGTTGAGAAATCTCGAACATAGAACTGTCGTACAAGTTTGAAAATTAAAAGTTAATGATAAAACCATTTTGTAGCCAAAATCCACAACCAAAATCTTTTAACAACATAATAAATAGGTTTCTTTTAATTTAGATCATTTTCTTGACTCAATTTTGACCCAAATCCGAACTTCACGCAACTTTATAGTTATATAACTAATTACATGACCACATGCACTCAAAAAATCGACCCCGTTTGGTATTTTGTTTTTCGTACGCATAGTCAACCATCATCGTCACTATGGTGGTTGTCGTGATAAACCACCCTTCCGAATTCAATTATGCACTTTTCTAATCAATCGACTTCAAACTGTAATTCAACCGTCATTACATTAATTTTAATGATAAATAAAGTTAGAACTTCAATTTACCTTCAAACCAACATACAAAATTTGAACCCTAACCTCGAACCTATGATCCAATTTCACTTCTAGTTCCATCAGTAGATCAAGAACTAAACCCACCTTAATTTATAAGCTTTCCATAGTTGAACATCATGCACTACGATAAAATCGAGTTTATAGGACATTCTCGAATTCTAAGTGTCCTAATAGACCTCTTTATAGGACATAGCTTATAGGACCAAAAAAATAAAGTGTCCTATGTAAAAGTGTTGTAATAAGTTTTTATGACGTTTTTTGACGTCGTAATAAGTTTTTTAGAACATTTTTAATATAAAGTGTTCTATTATCAACTTTATAGGACACTATTTATCAACTTTATAAGACACTATTTGAAAAATTGTCCTATAAAAACAAATGTCCTATAAAAATTTGAGTTTATAGGACACTTTCTCAAAAGTGTTCTACAAATATGCTAATGCGACACTTTGTACTAAAAAACTTGCTAAGATGTCCAAAAGCGTCATATAAATTATTACAACACCTTTAGATAGAACATTTTATATTTTGATCATATAAGACGGTCTATTGGGACGCTTAGAGATTAAGGGTGTCCTATAAACCCAATTTTGTTGTAGTGATGTATCTTAAATTTTACACATCATTTCTAAAAGAAAAAAACAATAATAATTATGAGTTGAGTGGCAGGATTTGAGTTGTTCAATCATGTTACTAGTGATTGTAGTGCATTTCACAGAAGGACATTTCAGTCAAAACAACAGACCCTTGATATGTGGACATAGAATCATCATGGGGACTTGGTCCAGTTGGTTTAAGTACACAATACATCAATAGAAGTGATGTTATATATTATCAATTAAATCCACACTCTTTATGTGGATCATGAGTATATTCATGCTATTTACATTAACTACTTGCATGACCCTCCATAGGCTCTACCAGATTCCAATGTAGTAGCCTAACCCCATCTGTTGTACAATCTATACAGATTTCTGATGCTTTTTGATCATAACACAATGATCATCTTCTTCCCCCCTCTTCCTCTTGAGTTTGCTCTTCTTATCAGGTCCTTCCATGAACGATAGATCAACCTGTCCCTCGCGGATAGCAACCTGCTCCTTGGTTAATACGGTGTCTGGGCTTGAAGGGTTCGAGCTGGCTTCGGATTTGCGAGATCTAACCAAGATCTGGTGCATTGTTTCACAGCAAGTTTGTAGATTTTGCTGTGACAATGGAATCCATGTCAAAAATAGTCTTTTGTTTGAAATGATGGAAAAAAGATTGAAACTTTCATCTTTAACTTACAGTTTGATCTGGAGGAATGAAGCTGGTGAGCTGGGAAAGATAATCTTGTCTTGTCGAGGGAAAAAAGTCATCAAGAACGAGCCTGAGGCCGCTCATGACGATAACACTTGGACGATACACGAGCAATGCTTCGTCTGCAGCGATTCAGCAAGATAGTAAGTGTATAATTACAAGTTCTTGATCTACGAATGGAATTCGGATGATATCGAAGATGATAATGGAGTAATACCAAGAGAAGAGGCAAGAAGATCGTCGTTTAGCCTTGAAGTTAATTGATCAAGAACGTAAGGCTTGATGACGGAATTCAATTCCCATGCGATCAACTCGACGTACGAGTGAGGAGTGACACAGTTAAGTTCCCATCCTAAAGACTCCATGATCTTCAATTCCATTCGTTGGATCAACTTTGCTTCAAAACAGTACTCTAAACCCTCCTGCAGTTTGTCAAAATACTTGGCTTTTTTAAACCAATGATCATAGCTTTAAAAGGGGTAATCGATAAACCCAGTTTCGTGTAACCTGCATTTCGTGTAATGAGGGAAGCCCAGTTTCACCAAATTTGATGGCAATAGATAAAGAAGCCACAGAAAGCAGTTCCATCATCCAATGATTCCACCCCTTCATCAACACAAAACCAACGTTGATTATGGCATTCATGATAAACCCTAATCTTAAAATACGAAACTTTCAACACAGAAGAAGACTTACATGGCACTGATTGATGCAGATAAAGCGATCGATGTAATTTACGGCATTATAAACAGTTCCAATGTAGAAATTAAACCGCCGTTGAGACTGCAGAACAAAGAAACAGGAAAACGGTTGAACAAAACATCAATCAAACAAACTATCGAAGTTAAAAGGGTTTCAAGAACAGACATGAATGAACCACTGGATGGCTTTGATTCTACAAGAAGCCACGAAACGATTGGATTCAAGGAAGTCTTTGTATCCTGATTCAGGCATATACTTCATTTCCTTTCGTAAATAAGTATCAAACGAGTGTTCAAAGTCTTCTTTCGTAATCGGTTGAACCGAATTATTACCATATAGCTTCTGTGTTTGATCATCATGATCAAATGGAGGACGACGAGAATAATTCGAAGGAACTGGAACTGGACTCACATCCCAAACTTCATCACAAAGAAGAAACTCGTTTGAATCCCCCAAGAAACCATTTTTATTATCAGAATTTGCGGAAGGAATCAGTGGACTCAATTCGCAGACGTGTTCATGGCAAAGAAGAAACTCATCCATGATATCCCCTTCCCGAAGAAGGTGGTGGAGGGGATAAAAATGGCGGAAGAGGAAGGACGGTTTAAAGCAGTTTAGGAGGGTGGTGTTGGTTGAAAAGAAAAGACACGTACCGCATGAAGAGGGTAAATGCAATGGGYTGTGACTTTTATGTGTGGTTTTTTATTGGTGGGTTTTACTGCAGTAACCAATTACGTGAACAGACACGAGTGTTGATCGGAATGGTGGCGACGTTTCCATCGATAATGGTTTACATTTTCAGTTGTTGTTCGGATCTTTTTGCGGGTCGGGTCGATTGGGATTTGTCTTCTAGGTCTTAGGTACGAAAAAAATCCAGAATATTGTTTTTTCATCATTGAATTCAAAAAAACAATAATTAATGATTGATATAAAACCATTTTTCGAATATTTCTAGACGTAAAATCAATTAATAATTACTTATAAATTAAATTTTTTCTGGTATATTATTTTTACATAGCATCGTAAATCCGTTTCATAACCAAACATATTCGATGATATACATTTAATACACAGATTGACATCAATTAGGATTACAATGTTGACTATTCAAATTAACATTTTATGTAAATCAATATGAATCAGTTGTGTTTTTATGTTACATCATGTTAATGTTTTCATCTCCGGTTTAAGGGTTTTTTTAGGGTTAAAATAAACTTTTTAGGAATCATTAATCTTAGAATCAAAAATTCCATTTTGGGTATAAGTTGAGATATTATTCTTAATTTAAAGATATGAGAGTTCTTAAAATTCATGCACTCAATATTTAGTAATAATTAATAAGTCAATAATGTAAGAAAAAATGATACTTTTGAAATCCAAAATATAGATATTATTTAATGCAAAAATAGAATTAATGTGGAAGGAATAATAAAAAGGGTTGTTGAAAGATGATGACTGATAAAGAATATATCAATATTTTCTAAACAAAGTAATTTTAGATTTTAATAATAAATAAAAAAAATAGAAAAATAATAAGCAATACTGTAAAATAAATAACCAATTAATTTTTTATATATTTTATTATCCAATAATTCAATATAATTAATTAATATGCTAAATTCTTTTGAAGAGTTAAGTCGTCACCATTCCCGTACAACAAGAAAGTAATTATCTTGTCACATTGGAAATTTGGAATTTAGTTTTAGAGGAAGTTACATGTTTCATCCCTAAAGTAAAAAGGTAACAAAATGAGTCCCTATGGTTTGTATTTTTCCATGGTTTGGGTCCCCTTTAGAAACTCCGTTAAAAATCTTTTTAACTCAAGGGCAAATTGGTCTTTTACCCTTTCACTCATTTTCTCCTAAAAATATTACATATACATATACATACATACACACACCCACACATATATAGGTTCGGGTTCAAGTGAGACCAACTTGTTTTCGTGAGACAACATTTTTACACTTGAAACTTCATAATAAAATATTGTGAAGGTAAAAAGAATTCGAATGTTCACAGAAAAAACACTGTGAAAGTTACATTCACAATGTTTTAATGTAAAGTTTCAAGTATAAAAATGTTGTTTCACGTGTCTTACGAAAACAACTTTGTCTCACATGATCCCAAATTTCTCTCTCTCTCTCTCTCTCTCTATATATATATATATATATACATACATACATATATATATATATATACACACACATACACACATACATTATACACGTTTCCGTCCCCTCTCTTTCTTCCCCTATAGAACGTTCCTTGTATATTGATGAACCTCTTCCACCATCTTCTTCGATGAAAAACTAAAAATATCAAGACGTAATTTTCAGGAGAAAATGAAAACATCAAGATTTAAAGCAAAAGAAAAACTAAAAACATCAAGATTTAAATTTTACCTCTTAAATCGTTGAAAGTTAATGCAGAACTAAGTATTCAAGTTAGAACACCTCTACGTGTATCCACACAAGCAACAACAACTGAATGCTAATACGTCTTCAATCAAAGCAAGCTTCTTCTGATTTCTTGCAGAATAAATCGATCAAGAGAAGGAGGAGATGGATGAGGCGATTTCTTTGAGGAGAGGAGAAGATTAGAAAAGTTACCCTAATTCTCCTAATGCTTATTTGAAACAACTTGTTCTTTTCTACAAAACACTTATTAACTTATTATAAGTCAGAAATGTTTAACTTATTCAAAAACTCCTTATTACCGGTTTGACATCGGTATAAGTTGTTTATCCAAACACTCAAAAGTGCTTATTACCGATGTCACGTCGAAATAAGTCAACAAGTTATTTTTATAAGCAATCCTAAACACCCCCTAAGCCTTAAAGCTTTTTGAATCTAATTAAATAATTAAGCTCATAATTTTTATTTAAACTCTCCTAGTTTAAATAATAAAACTCTTTAATTAATAAATCAAATGGATCTAATTATTTAGACCCACTTATCCAAATAATTATGAATTAACTTTTACATTTTTTGATTCAATAATACACATCACATGTATATTATTTAACTGATGTATTTACTGCTATTTGTATATAACCACATAGATTCATATGTAATTAGTAATATAGTTAATACCAAAAAGTCGCGTTCCTTTCACATAAATCCAACATTTCGTTTATTCTTGTTTCTATGGTCGAAGAAATCATTTTCTTGAGTTTTAGCGACAACAATCATTGAAAACAATGAAGAGACGAGACCAAACGATCTATTTTTTTTGTCTAGTTGCCGTTGGGATGACGTGGGAGGCGTGGTCGTCTTTGGACATGTACTGGCCCGAGATGTTTTGTTTTAGATTATTAATATTACTTAATTATTTATTTTCTAACAGATTGTTTATGAAATTATTTAATTAAATTTAAATGATGGATTTGAAGCGTCGTATTTTGATTAAATATTATTGAGACGCTTTAAGGCGGAACATATGATTCTTATAGGTATTAAAAGGATAAATCGAGTCATTATCAAACGTAGTATTTGGAGGTTTATTAAATTGTTTTGATGATTTAGAAATGAGATTTAAAGCGTCGTATTTTAGTTGAATAATTATTGGACCACTTTAATTTGGAGAGATGAATTTTTAAAATTATAAAATGATTAATTTGATGTTTTGACGTGTCATCACATTGTAGACTTGGGGTTTGACTAAAGTTAGTCGAGGTTGACCGAGGGCGGACTTTTACCTCGTTTAATGCACAAAGATTTTAACAATGAGAAGAAATGGAGTTATTTGAGACCTTAGAAGACTTGGTTTTGGAGTTTGGCTCTAGATCCGGTTGAGTATGACTATAGTTGAATATCATTGGCTTTTGGAGAAATTAATTGTCGTTAATTGGATATTATGGTATGAAATGTGTAGATTTCAGTCAAAGGCTACCGGTAGTTGATCTACACGGGCAAATGAGTTTTTATGCATGAGACTTACAATGAGATGCATCCATATGTACAAATTATTTTTTAGCATGATATGATTTGTATGGTGATGTGTACGTACGCATGATGTATCAGTTTACATATATGATATAAGATATGTTACACGTATGATGTATATGATCAGTTGCATGCTATGTGTTTGTTTTCTTTTTAAATCACTCTAATATGTTGTTTCATAGAAAAGTTTTATGATGAGTTTTAGTGGGTGGATATTGACCAATAAGTCACAGGACAAGTGTCACGACCTCGTAAGGTCGCACAACAGAGAGAATGCTGGTAACAAAATGACCCATACTCGACCACACCGTTTATGAGATCCATTTTCTTTCAATGTTGCATGTTTTGAGAAAATGCATAGTATTTGGTACAAATTTTACAAGTTGATATGTATGATATGAAATGATTTTATTCTCGCAAATCATGAACTTACTAAGTTTTATAAGCTGACTATAATATGCATCCCACAGGTAGAAGGTTCCAGGTTGGAAAAAAGAAAATGGCACATATAGAGACTTGTCTTGTCCATTTAAGTTCAATATTTATGATCATACACCTATGATGGACAAATTCTATAATGCAATCCAATATGGGAAGGACAACATTTAAGTTACATATTTATTATTTTAAAATCTCCCACCGTAAATGGTTTTAGTTAGCTGTTATTTTGAAGTGTTTAAGGAAAAAAATATTGATGATGATGTGGCATTTTCATGATGAAAATGAGGGTGTTACAGACTTTAATTATATAGTCGAAATGCTGAAACACGTCAACGTCTTCCGACATTCACTTTCCCTTTGTATTTGTTGCACCGAAGGCTTTAGGCTAGTACAAGTGAATCTAAAAATAAATACATTCGACTGATGTTTTTCACAAAGCACACTGAACACTAATCACATACATAAATCAAAGAGTCCACGTGTTCGGTGTCTAATAGATACAAAGAACCTATTAATACTAAGTTTTGGACTCCAAACTAATAATGTTATAGTCTAGTTCTGGACGGATCTGTCAGATCGACAGGGTTGAACCTGACTATTGAAGGCCTTGCACCACTACAACAAAATCGGGTTTATAGGACACTCCTAATTTCTAAGTGTCTTTGTAGACCTCTTTATAGGACTTAGTTTATAGGACCAAAAAATAAAACGTCTTATCTAAAGGCGTTGTAATAAGTTTATATGACGTCTTTTGACGTCATAATAAGTTTCTTAGGACACTTATAATATAAAGTGTCTCATTAATAACTTTATAGGATACTTTTTTTGAAAAAATGTTCTATAAAAACAAATGTCCTATAAAAAATTGAGTTTATAGGACACTTTGTCAAAAGTGTCTTATAAAGTTGCTAATGCGACAATTTGTATTAAAATGTCCTAAACAATTTGTTAAGACGTCAAAAAGCGTCATATAAACTTATTACAACACCTTTAGATATGACGCTTTATATTTTGGTCCCATGAATTAAGTCTTATAAAGCGGTTTATTGAGACGTTTAGAGATTGAGGGCGTCCTATAAACCCAATTTTATTGTAGTACACGAAAATCAAATACGGTCCTATAAAATATTATTTTTTCTAATATATTATTTAGTACTG